CTAGGTTGCAACATCTACCCAACAACAATTGGCCAGCTCTAGAAGCCGGAGAAACCATCAGCCCAGGCGGCTCCCAGCCGCTCCCGCTCGCCTGGCTCGATTGTCTTGCATCCACTTGCAAGAAACATTGAGGGCTGACCCAGACTCCTTGTACTCCAAAAGAAGATTTTGGATTTCTGGTAGCTCGAAATTCATGTTGGAGACGAACCTCAGAGCATGGGTTCAAGACATACGTACGTGTCTCTCAGACAGTCTGGGATCCATAATATTCATACTCATGAAACTTTCTCAAGAGATGTGACAACCAAAACAGCCGAGAATTCAATAGGACAAACGCAAATGCGGTGGGTTCACAGGCCAAACCGAAGCAAGTGGGAGAACATGTTTGAGACCTAAGAAGGAACGCCCAACTGGACCTCCTTGCTGTCAGAATTGCTTCAAGTTCTAGCATAACTTATAAAAAATGGCTGACATCGAAAACATTGCCAGGCAAAAAACTGCAGAGAAACTCTCGCACTCTGCCAGCCTTGGACCGTAAGTTGTTGCTCACCATCTTGGACACATAGCTTCCAAGGCCTCCGGTCTTCTTGTCTCCAGCGAGCCATTCGTTGGCACTGTGCCGGGCAAAAATCAACTGCTCGGGCAACATGTCGATGAAGGTCGAATCTGGAACCCACCAGTAGTGAAGAGCTCGGAAAGTCTGCACGTGCTTCACGAACAAAGACCACCCGCCCGAGACTGCAATGGCAGCTGGAATTCCATATGCAGTTGACCACTGCATCATGGCCTGCACCTTCCAACCGGTCCCGGCCGTGAAGACAGGGATACATGCTGAGGAATTGTGACGACATGCGGGAGCAAACCACCAGCGGTTGTTTGCATCACACTTAGCAGCAAATGAACCATCTGTTTGGTTTACAACCCCGTCATAGTCACCTGAATATCGGGCATAGTCTCCCATTCGACTCGGATTGCTCATATCCGTCTCATTGCACTTGGCCAATTCTGACAGGTCCACACCATGAATGGAGTCGAAGTATTTCCTAGGTGCGGTGTTCGAGTAGGAGACAATATGAGACAATATATAGCTCGACCCCTTGGGAAGTTTAAGACAGTGTATTCAAAACCCATGTTACCAGAAGGTCAAGGTGGCAGAAGAGTTCTCGCTTCGCTTTTGGAGATCGGCGAAATCAGTCAACAACTGAGAGGAGGCTAGCACTCAGAAGCTGTTCAGCCCAGCTTCTTCGGATCATGATGCGTCGTGTTGTAGCCTCAAACGGTCAAACAGGATGAAACAGGGTCAAACTCGGCAAATCAAAATGAACAGGTCTGGACAATGAATATAAAATCATGCGTGTGGCATACGCGTGCGCTTTGAGACCCCCGAAAGACTTTGGAAAAAGGACGAGTCAACAAAGTCTAAGTCAACTAACAAATCAACTAAGCACGTCGCAACAAGTTCTATTCAAACCCCAACAAACCCCAACAACATCCAACAACCAAGCTTTAAAGATAAAAGCACTGTTAAACGACCGTTCAGTAGCTCTTGTAGAAATCCAGGGCGAGACCCGATTCGCTGTAGGCAGCTTGGAGAATCGCTCGGCTTACATACATGGATTCTTCTCCTGCATACCCCATGCTTCCTAAATCCTCCGCCGCAAGTCTTGGATACTCCTTGGCGAACTGATTCTGAGTGGAAGCATAGCTTCCAATCCAAGAGTCCACGCTCACATGGATCGTCGTTTCTTGGACGCCGCAGACCCTGTTGTCTTTGTCGTTGAAGTCGGTACATCCTGCCAAAGCGAAGACTGGAGAAGCTCCATTCCCACCCACTGTAGGATCGACCTCAGCATGGAAACCAAGCACCTCGCGGATCATCAGCGCTGTCATCTGGCTGAGAAGAGCGGACGATGCCCAAGCCATTTCGAACACTCCGATGTGAATGTTGTTGCCGGCATCATCCTGAAGGCAGCACACACAATCCATTGCATGAACAGCCATGGGTTTCCAAGCAAACGGCGCATTTCTATGTTAGCTTCCGTGTTAGCTTCCTGATGCTTTATGCATGATGCTTTATCCAACCCCCTGTTCCTGGATGTACTCTCGCTGGCTTTCTGGCACGCCGTCATTGAGACAAAGTTCTGAGCCCCAGCCCACCATCATGCCGAGAAGCACCACTGCCAAGCGCAGCATTGCTCCCCACAGCTTCGAAAGCGGAGGTTGGGGAATCCAGAGATGAGCTGAGAGCCAAATGCTGGAACCGGACCGTTCACTGCAACTGCTTTGCATGCTTTGAGTACCACTGGCGCTCTACAAACCCTCATGTTGGTGCTTTAGATGCTTTAGTCCACCAACAAATTGGAACAGAATCGACTTAGACGATCGCACATGGCAGATCCTTGAATGCTTGAACTAAAGCAAATGCCGCCGCTCCAACTCTGCCATCTCCCAAGGCTTTCTCCCTGATCTCTCCGAAGGCTTTGATTTTCTTTTTCCTCTTGCGACATAGGAGGCTTGATCGCATCAGAATTATGTTGAAGATCATGCTCCGCTGGAGTGCATCGTGCAGCTGCTCGTTCGAGCATGGCACATGTTTGAGTTTCGACGCAAAAAGACAGTTTCAGGCGTTAAACCATTAAACATTTGCGGGAGCCGGCGAGAACAAAAAGATTGTTTCCGCAGACACCCTCTCAAGCTGCGCTGAGCAGCTTGCAGCTTGGAAGCAGTTCTTAGAAAGATACCGAAGGCTGAGCCCCAAGAAACATAAACCCAATATGGAGGCATGGTGAAAAAACAAACATCTGAAAGAAATACCGTTTGTCCAAGATCAATCTTCACCTCAATCGGCGGCCCAACAAACCGCCAGATTTCGGTTGTGGTTCCCAACCTTCCTACTGCACCAAGCAGTCGCCCAACTTGCTGCCTTCGCGTACTCAAACCAGGGTGGCTCCCAAGACACTCACCCTGCACCGACAAGAGAAAGGAAAGCTACAAACAGCATTCATAAGCTATACCGTACTTACTTCTCATTCTCTACTGGGCGCCACCCCGAGAAAAAGATCTCTGGCGGTGCGAGAAGCTATTTTCTCGCTTCGCATGGCCCTAGGCGAGCATTTTGACCAGTTGGATCATGGTGAAATCCCGATTAACTGCTCGATTCTTTCAATCCCCTGCTACCCAGGACCATTTCAGAAAAAAATCACACCGTGGCGGTCTGAGTGACCTCCTCTCGAGTCACCTCTGAAGGCTCATTCGTCTCCTTCTCCTGGGCATCGTAACTTGATGAGCTCCTGAAATCAGTTCCACACTCCACACGATCTGCATTGAGAAGTGTGAAGAAAATCAGACTTCTAATTTGGCTGATGAGATCTGATGAGGTTCTGACTGGAAATGCTTAAGATCAAGTTCCGAAAAGAGTCCTGTTTGGGAATACTCGCAAGAAACGTGGTTCAACAGGGTGTGCAACGGTCCAAAACCACCCCCTGCACTCTAGCTACTCCCCACGACTATTAGCGTATCTTCCGTTTGGTTTTAGTTTTTGGTGCCCACATGTTCCTTCAAGGCCCTGAGTCCTGAAGGTGCGTGTTCCGGTCGCGATGCGACGGGAGGAGCTCTTGCGCAGGCTCCCATGACTCAGAGTCATATTGAGGTCGTCCGCAAGAATGTTGATCGCACGGGTGATGGTGCCAATGTCATATGTTGAGAGATTGCTCAAGTCCTTGATGAAGGTCGCCTCCTTGCCTTGTCCATCTTCCTTGAGGAAAGTCGCCACGTCCAGGAGACTCTGAAAGACATCCTTCTCTTCTGGGACCTTGCCCAGGTTCATGATGCGCAATTCCTTTGAACTGCCCAGCGCCGAGCGGTAGATGAGAGCGGTCAGGCCAAGCATCACCATCCCTCCGAGGATGACGACCATCAAAGAGGAGATGACGGTGCCGAAGAGAGATAGAACACGTGCAGCATCTTCCCCGCTGCTGTCGGCATATCCAAGCGACCCTGCCAAAAGCATCACGAGGAGCGACACTGAGACTCCATCGACCAGATTCAGGATTGGGGATTTCCATGGCAGGAACCACAATTGAAGGCAAAGAGATCCAAGCAGAATCATGTGCATCAGCGTAAGTTGCCTGAGCCGCACAGCCTTCCCCTTCGGGTTTCACTTGCGAGATCGGGGGGGGCGGAAATTTCATGACATGTCCTATCGTGCTCAAACACCCAAAGTACGGCGCCCGTAAATCCCAACGACTTCATTGTGCACCCGAGTTACAAGCTGGGCATGTTGGTCGCGATCACACCTGGCATGGACAGCAAGGGTCCTCGGGCCAAGAGGACCAAACCAAAATACCACACATTGGGCCGGAAGCGGAAGATCAAGAAGCGAATAGCCGCAAGCCTACAAAGGACACATCGCATGGGTGTGGATCGTGCCACGCTCTAGAACAGCCACACGTTTCCATGTATGGTTTAAGGTATGTTAATGAACCATATACGTATACATAATTTAAAAAAAAAAAAAAACATAAAACCATACATGAACAACAGACACACATTCCATGTAGGTCTTTGCCGTCTAGGAGTTGCTTTCCCGAATACGACACGTCCGACGGGTTGCTTTCTGGGGTCCGACGCCCTGGACGGCGCGTCGGGCGTTGAGTTTGTCCAAGTCTGTCCAATGCTTGCGATTTGAGAGTCGTCTGTACTTGCATGCAACATGCCATTCAGCTTAAGACAACGCTTGGACCCATGCTTTTCGGATATCTGATGGCTGGGAGCATGCAACATGCCATTCATTGGCTTTTCCACGCAGAAGTCCATGCTTTTCGGATATCTGATGGCTGGGACCTTCTGGCAAGACTTTCGAAGTGGAAGTCTTCTGTCAAGAAATCCCAGATACATGGACGACATGCCAGGCCAAAGCAGATCGTCACTGTTGCACCAGCAAGAAGCCCAGCCACACAAAGCTTCCTTATTGTGGTCACCCCCCCCCACAATCCAAACAGGACAAATGGGGGTTGTTCAAAAGTCCTTTCATTTTTTTCCAGGCCTTTCGCAGGACCTTCGCGAAGCTTTCGCAAGCTTTCGCGCGTGGGGTTTTACCTCTGTCGGCGAAAATGGTTTTTCGTTGGGGCTAGAGGCTTTCAAGGATAGTTGCCCTGGCACGTCTTGTGTCCTCTGATCACTGACACATTGATTGCTGAGGAACAGGAAGCCAGCGAACCAAGACATTTTCATGTTGGTGTGTTTTTGGTTGGGCGCAACCCTCCATGAACAAGAGACGGCTCAGTCAGGCCAGTTTGCTCAGACTTCCAATTTGCTTTTCCCGGGCCGGGAAAAAGCAAAGTGGTTCAGACTTCGAATTTGCTTTTTCCTTGGGCCGGGAGAAAAGCAAAATGGTTCAGACTTCCAATTTGCTTTTTCCCCGCCCGGGAAAAAGCAAAATGGCTCAGACTTCGAATTTGCTTTTTCCCAACCCGGGAAAAAGCAAAATAGTTCAGACTTCCAATTTGCTTTTTCCCGGGCCAGGAAAAAGCAAAATGGCCAGACTTCCAATTTGCTTTTTCCCGGCCCGGGAAAAAGCAAAATGGTTCAGACTTCGAATTTGCTTTTTTCCAGCCCGGGAAAAAGCAAAATGGCTCAGACTTCCATTTTGCTTTTTCCCGGGCCAGGAAAAAGCAAAATGGTTCAGACTTCCAATTTGCTTTTTCCCGGGCCGGGAAAAAGCAAAATGGTTCAGACTTCCAATTTGCTTTTTCCCGGCTCGGGAAAAAGAAAAATGAAACTCCTTCCAATTTGGAAAGCAATCTGTGGGGGGAGATTGCCTTCTCCGGCCTGGAAACAAGCAGCGCCTGTGAGGCTCGAGCCCACGACCTTCTGCTTATGAGCCTGGCGCCGTATCCAGCTCTCTGAAATAATTGCTCTTTTCAGGCTTTGCAAAAGCAAGCTGGATGTCCAATTTGCTTTTCCGGCTCAAACTTCCAATTTGCTTTTTCCCGGGCCTGGAAAAAGCAAAATTGGAAGTCTGAACCATTTTGCTTTTTCCAGGCCCGGAAAAAGCAAATTGGGTGTCTGAACCGTTTTGCTTTTTCTTCGCCCGGGAAACAGCAAATTGGAAGTCTGAGCCAGCCCTGGAAAAAGCAAATTGGAAGTCTGAGGTGGGGTGGGGTTTGGCCCTGTCGTCTTTCGCGTCCACAATGCGAACCTTTCGCCATACTTGCGCAGTTTCCCACGACAAAGAATTTTCCAAGGGTCGGGAAAAAGCAATTGGACATGTATCAGACTTCCAATTTGCTTTTTCCTGGGCCCGGGAAAAAGCAAAAGGCTCAGACTTCCAATTTGCTTTTTCCCAGGCCGGGAAAAAGCAAAATGGTTCAGACTTCCAATTTGCTTTTTCTCGGGCAGACTTCCAATTTGCTTTTTCCCGGGCCGGCAAAAAGCAAAATGGTCCAGACTTCCAATTTGCTTTTTCCCGGGCCTGCTCAGACTTCCTATTTTTCTTTTTCCCGGGCCGGGAAAAAGCAAAAGGCTCAGACTTCCAATTTGCTTTTTCCCGGGCCGGGAAAAAGCAAAATGGTTCAGGCTTCCAATTTTTTTCCGGGCCGGGAAAAAGCCAGACTTACAATTTGCTTTTTCCCGGCCCGGGAAAAAGCAAAATGGTTCAGACTTCGAATTTGCTTTTTCCCAGCCCGGGAAAAAGCAAAATGGCTCAGACTTCCATTTTGCCTTTTCCCGGGCCAGGAAAAAGCAAAATGGTTCAGACTTCCAATTAATGGTTCAGACTTCCAATTTGCTTTTTCCCGGCTCGGGAAAAAGAAAAATGAAACTCCTTCCAATTTGGAAAGCAATCTGTGGGGGGGGATTGCCTTCTCCGGCCTGGAAACAAGCAGCGCCTGGGAGATTTGTGCTTATGAGCCTGGCGCCTTGTCCATTAGGCCACAGCTCTCTGAAAAACTTGCTTTTTTCAGGCTTTCCAAAAGCAACCTGGATGTCCAATTTGCCTGCGCGGCTGAAACTTCCAATTTGCGTTTTCCCGGGCCTGGAAAAAGCAAAAGGTTCAGACGTCGGCCCGGGAAAAAGCAAATTGGTTCAGACTTCCAACCAAGCCATTTTGATTTTGCCGTGTTTTTGGTTGGGCCCAACCCTCCATGAACAAGAGACGGCTCAGTCAGGCCAGTTTGCTCAGACTTCCAATTTGCTTTTTCCCGGCCCGGGAAAAAGCAAAATGGTTCGGACTTCCAATTTGCTTTTTCCCAACCCGGGAAAAAGCAATCGGAAGTCTGAAGAGCAATTGTTCTTGCAGCGTGGCCAGGTCACCAACATGACTTGCGCAGACCTTTCGCAGGACCTTCGCGAACCTTTCGCGACTGCAGTGAGAGCACAATCGAAATCAGCCTTTGAAATTCGATTACTAACAAGGAAGAGGTGGGTTTTTGAACGACGCTCAAATGACCTGCCCGAATTGGTTCGGCCCGTGCGTCCCCGCAAAGGAGGAGTAGATGAAGCTTTTCGGCTTTCAGGTCGTAAAAGAAGAGTGACGAATGGCTTCACAGGCTCGGCGCTCGGCTCAAAAAAGGGCTCTTCCGTTATCCGGCTTTTCTATCTGGCTCATTGACCTAGGTCGATGGATTTGTTGCCTTCAGTTTTTGCGACTTAGACGGCTGATTTCAGACTTAAGATTATCACTTAACCGCGTTTTCTCCTGTGTCCTTAGCAAGCAGTCTTCGACATTCGGATGCATTGCTCTGTTCCAACCCATGGTTCGTCGGCACTCGTCGGGTCCAGGTGGTCCCACCGTGTCGCCGGGGGCGGAGACCGGACGCGTAGCTGCGGAGACCGGGCGCGCGCTCCACGGCCGTCTGGATGTTAGGCCTTGATGGCGCCAGGTGTTTTGATAGGAAGACCTCCCCAATGGATTCCACAGGTTGCCGGAAGTCGGACTTCCTACTCGCATGAGGGTAGGAAGCATCCCAACCGCCCAAAGGGGCTGCCTGAAAAACGCATGCAGCTTTGGCTTTGGATGACGGTTTGGTGCACGTGTCATCCGGACAACGACAACGACACAGCGCATGTTCATCATGGTCCGTCCTTGATTTCCCCGACCACTTGGGTGCTTGATAGGCTGCGTAGCAAGCTGCGGTGAAGAAGCTGAAGGCCAAAAAGATCACCAAGGCACCAAAGATTCGCATGATCACCTTGCTGATGGTGCTGGCACGTCCAAGTAGAAACATCTCAACTAGGAATGCATCACATGAGTGAATAAAACAGTATATTTTTACGACTAATTAATAGCTAGTAAGATATTGTAAGTGTAGCATTTAATATCGGAATGGTTTTGGCACGACCTTCGAAACAGAATCCTGTGAACGTTCAATCAGAGAGCACGCGACAGATGGCCAATCCTGGAGAAGAAGTGGACCAAATATCTCTAACACTCTTCTCTGATGGGGCTAATCAATCTAGGTTTATCTACCTTTCGCTATAAGTGTTGAAGCAACATGAAGCAACGAACAAACAACAGCTCCAGGTCGTTTCAAAGCCTTGCTGTTCTCTTCAAATTGCGTGGTCATCAGTGCCGCAGAATACATTCGGATACTTCAAAATACTCTCCTGGCCGGTAGGATGTCGATAGCACATGAACGGCATGAGGCCGACATTGCACATGGTTGTGAAGCCGACCTGCAAGAATTGCCCCGTTGTACTGATTGTTTTGTTCTGCTCCCATGCAAGCTTGCGGCGCTTCAGAATTGGAATGAAGTTTGTAAGCAAACCAACAAGGGCAACGCAAGAAACACAATCCAAAAGAACGAGGCAGTGCTCACATATCGGCCCACATTGCCGCCGGCAGCACAACTAAAGCCAAGAGCATCAAGGTTGAAGGTAAAGATCGAGGCAAAGTTCAGGATGTCTCGCAATCCATCTGGCCATTGAACAGCGACAGTGTTCAAGACACCCAAATTCTGGAATAAGGCCACTAGCATTCCCAAGGCTGCGGTGGTGGACATCATCACACTGGCCTTCGCTGTATAGCTTGATGTTAGCATATAGTAAGAGCCACAGACTCCAACCACGACCATTGTCACGGAGAAAGCCCATGCAGCTGGCACAGCTCCACAGGGTTCGCATTTGTTGGAAGCCCAATAATGTCCATCAGCGCAGTCACCACAAGTCAAACCTTCACGGTCTCCGAAGCAAACACCTGGAGAACCACCGGGACAATAGAGCTCCGCAGCGCATTTGTAAGTGTCAAGAGGTGCTTCTGGATTGCCTTTCTTTGATCTGTACAATCAAACTGGAAAACATCCGAAAACAAAAAATACCTCAAGCAACACCTGGGAGCCAAGACTGATACAACTTGTCTGGTGAGTATGCTATGTTACAAGGATCAAAATTTGCTCAAGCACATCTAACTCACTGAA